ATCCACCTCTGAATATACTCTCTGAGAGTCTCATTAGTTTTCTGCACGCAGACTTGCAACTCTGTTAATCCCGCTGGTCGCTTGCAAGTCCCTTCAAACGTTCTGACGAACACTCGGGACAGATCTTCCCAGGTGTAAATGCTGCTAGGAGGTAATTGAGTCAACCATGCCCTGGCAGAACCTTCCAACATGAGGGGCAAATGCTTCATGGCCACCTCGTTGTTCCCACCACCGATCTGAACTGCCACTCGGTAGTCTTCAAGCCAAGTTTCAGGCTTAGACTCACCAGTGAACTTGCTGACTCCTGTTGCCAACCTGAAATTGGGGGGGATAACTGCGGCTCTGATAGCTCTGCTGAAACATTCAGGACCAGAAACATGTACTCGACTGCTCGTGGGTACATCTCTGTCGAGTGCGCCTCGATGGGCTCTGTTCCGGTCGACCAACCCTTGCACGATAATGGATCGCGCGTCGAAGCCTGGCTCTCTGGGGTCAACTGGAATCCTACGCCCTGTACTGTACTGACGCCTATCATCTGGCTGCCGAGGAGTGTAAGACCCACCCCTCGGAGGGGAATAGGGCACTCGACGCCTATCATCTCGGTCGAGTCTGTCGCCATATTGATCTCGCCGATTCTCACGCCCTTCGCACCGCGGAGGCGATCTGGGGCTGTGAGCCGACTGAACCGTATTCACAGTGACAGATCGACTGTGAATTCTGTTGCGCGACTGAGACACGGCTGAATTCTGATCTCCTGCTGCCCGGAGCAGATCCCTGATCTGCAGCAAACCTCTGCCAGCTTCCGACTGCGAAGGCTGAATGGACTCTGCTATACGGGTCGCAGCTGCTAAATTCTGAATTGGAGTTCGATATACCTGAGTCGGCGGGAAGAGTTGACGTCGACTGGTGTCGGGAACTCGTTGCCGCGCGCGCTCGTCGAGTGCTCGCTGAAGGTTCTCCAGTCGAGTGCGCTTGGCCAAATTGGCCAGACGCGCCTCCTCCAAGGCACGAGCCTCGGGGGTTTCTCCTGCGATGGGAATACGCAGGGGATCCTCGTTCCTGCGGCGAAGCCCTTCTCTTTGCAGAGAGTCGAGTGGCTCGGGCTGGTACTCTTCGTAGTCTCGTGCAGGGTCGCCGCCGTCACCTGCTCCACCACCACGGGCGAAGCCAGGAGGGCTGTGGGGCCCGTCGACCATCAAGATTTCCGCCGCTGGATCACTGCTTCCGCACTCGGATGTAGTCTCTCCGGAGCCAGTCGACTGATCGAACAAGCCGTAGAGAGATTCGTTGGGCTCGATTGCCGCAACTTGTGTAGTGGCCGATTGGCGAGCCACCGCGTGACTCACCCATCGCTGAAGCCTCAACCGGCCTGAGCGCTTGCGCTGGCGGGAGACCGGGAGGGTGGACGATGGAGGAGCCGACCGATACTGGGTCGACGGTTGTCGCAGCAGAACGCCGCGGACACATGCGCGAAAATGCGTCGCACCGCGGACGGGGAGCGCGTCTACGTCGAGTGGAGCCTCCTGGAGCCATGCGGAGTCGTCGGCGATGAAGGTGAGAGTGCCGAGACGGATCTCTTGACCCTCGACCAAAACTCCAGCAGACACCATGATGAGAGTACTCGGAAGAATCGCAAATTCTCCACAAAATCGCTAAAACACCTGCCCCACGGTGGGCGCCAACTGTCGTGGTTCTAAGCCTGACAGTAGAGTGGGGGGTAGGTATGGAGAGGTAAGGTCCTAGCTATGGAGAGGTTGTAAGCACAAAGGATGTACGAGTTCAGGCCCTTCTCGGAAGAAGTAACAGCCCTACGTCTCGGAGCCCGGAGGCGGTCGAGTGGATTATGAATGTATGAATTACAAGGTGCCGAACCCCTCTGCCTGTGGAGGAGGGTGGCTTATATAGAGTGCGCCAGGACCCTAGCCAGCCCACGCAGGAGAGGGTTTAAGGTGAGTTAAGTCTGGGGCGTTACTGGTAACGCCCCACATAAAGTGCCTTTACTATCATAAAGTCTACTTGATTACAGGCCGTTGCAGTGCAGAGTGCCTCTTGACCTCCTGGTGGTCGAGTGAGTCTTCGTGGTCGAGTCCTTCAGGCCAGTCGAGTGAATCCTCGTTGGTCGACTGGAAGGCGACCTCTTCTAAGGATGTCCTGGGGTAAGTTACTTGGATCAGGTCCATGACCCTACCCTAGGTACATAACCCCATCAGGGGTAGGAGGAGAATTTCTTCTCGAAGTAGTGCACCGGCGTTGGGGTGAAGATCGGCGAAAGGAAACTTGGTTTCATCAAAAACGACATCACGGAAGATGTATACTCGCCCGATGGAAACATCTAAGCACTTGACCCCTTTGTGCTGTGCACTATAACCAAGGAAGACGCACTGTTTTGATCAAAACATGAGCTTTTGGTTGTTGTAGGGACGAAGGTTGGGCCAACATGCACACCCAAATACACGAAGGGACTTATAGTCTGGTTTGGTGTGGAGAAGTCGTTCTACCGGAGTTTCATTATGAATAACACGACTAGGGAACATGTTGATGATATGAACTGCGGTTAAAAACGCTTCATCCCAGAATTTGAGAGGCATGGAGGCACCAGCTAGATGAGCAAGGCCAACTTTGACAATGTGTCGATGCTTGCGTTCAGCTGACCCGTTTTGCTGGTGAGCATGAGGACATGACACTTGATGTGAGACACCAAGTGTTTGGAAGAAGGAGTTTAACTTTTCGTATTCCTCTCCCCAGTCTGATTGGACAGCGATGATTTTGCTGTCAAATTTTCGCTCAACGAGAGCTTGAAATTTTCTGAACACTTGAAACACATCGAATCGTTTTTTTAAAAGATAGATCCAAGAAAATTTGCTAAAATCATCGATGAAGCTAACATAATAGGAATGTCTGCCAACAGAGGTAGGGGCAGAACCCCAAACATCAGAAAAAATCAATTGTAATGGTTTGGTAGAGACACTGCTAGAAATAGGGTAAGGCAACTGATGACTTTTAGCTTTCTGACATGAATCACAAATTGTCTCATTATGACGCTCACCAACAAATGAGAGATTATTTTTCCTAAGCAATTTTTCAACTAAAGAAAAAGATGCATGTCCTAAACGATCATGTCATTGTGTGGAGGAAAGCTTGATAGCACCACAAGCATATTTATTTGGTCTTCTAAACTCCGGGATCAACGGATAGAGGCCGCCAATGCATCTACCTCGATAGAGAACTGTCCTCATTGCCTGATCCTTGATCAAAAAGAAGTAAGGGTGAAATTCAAGAAATACATGATTATCAAGTGCAATTCTATGGATAGAAAGAAGACTCTTGTTGGCGCTAGGAACATGCAGAATTTTTCTAAGATGGATATTGCGACGAGGTAAACGAAATATTGAGTGACCAAAGTGACTTATACTCATACCTTCTCCACTGGCGGTGTGGATTTGATCCTTGCCACGATACTTCTCCTTCATGGTTACTTTCTCGAGCTCGTTGGTGATGTGGTTGGTAGCACCACTGTCGACGTACCAGTTCGTGTCGACACCATATGAGCCATCAGCCGCCGCAGCGACCTTTTCTTCATCTTGGGAGTCGTAGTCGTCCTCCTCATACCTGTACCATCAATCCTTTGCTGTATGCCCGAGCTTGCCGCAAATCTGGCACCGAGGGCTGTCCAGACGGTTCCTGCCACCGCCACCAGCACCGTGTCCGCGGCGGCCTCGGCCACCAGATTGGGGTGGCGTGGCGCCACGGTTGCCGCCGCCACTGGACCTGCCCTTGTTGCGAGAGGAGCCACGTGAGCGAGAGCCGCCGCCCCGCCCACGAGTGGCCGCGTTCGCGGATGATTTGAAGCCGCCGCCGGCGGCCCCCTGGAAGTGAGCCATGCGCTGATCGAAGTTGGATAACATGGCAAAAATTTCATCAAGGGTTACCCCGGTTACGCGAGCGTCGAGGGCAGAGACCAGGGGCTGATAGTCGGCGTCGAGCCCGTGGATGATGTAGGAGGCGAGTTCGTCGTTGGGGATCGCCTTGCCTGCGACAGCCAGCTCGTCGGCGTAGCCGCGCATGGCGGCGAAGTCGGAGGCGACGGAGAGGTTCCCCTTCTGCGCGTTGATGAGAGACGTGCGTATGTTGTTGATGCGGCTGGCAGACTAGGACGAAAACATCCCAGCGAGCGTCGTCTATAGTGCGCCCGCGATGGTGACCGTGGTCACCGTGAGTAGCACCTCATGCGTCAGGTTGTTCAGCAGGTACCCCAGAACCTGCTGATCCTCCCGGACCCAGATTGGGTGGAGAGGGTTGGTCGATGATGAGACCTCCTTGCCATCCTTGGTGGTGACGAGGAGTTTCGCCGGCTCCGGCTGGGTGCCGTCAACGTAGCCGTAGACACCGGCGTCGCGCAGCTGGGGAATGACTTGCGTGCGCCATAGCACATAATTTGTGCGGGTTAACTTCTCGGTAACTTGGCCACTGAGGTTGGTTTGGGATGCGCCGGAGGTGGAAGACATGGCTAGGGCTAGATGGAGTTTGCAGGGAGCTTCGATGGGAAAAGGATAGCTCTGACTACCATGTGCGATTAGCTGGAAACCTCTTGCCTATTGAGGCTGACGGGTACGTGTTAATATAGCGGGGCACACCTCCCGTACAACGCATACAATGTAGTTTAGATACAGGAGATATTCAAGGAGAAGATAGAACTTGGAGAGAAAGAAACAACTCATCTATATCTATCCTAACTACCTCCATGTGCGGCTCAGGTGTATATGCGCCAATTATCACGTACCAATGTAACATCATGTTTGACATGCAGTGCACTATTATTTGAATCCAAAATCATTTTTTGCAGTTTTAACAGGGGTAACTTCATAGGTACTGGAATGACAGAGGAACTTTAGATTAGAATTGAGCAGACTCGTCTAGATGATGTAATCTTCAGGCATCAACTTTGTCTTCAAATAAACACAAGACACTAAGACTGTGCAACCTTCAGGCATCAACCCTGTCTATGGCTGTGCGAAGGGGTCGGCCACGGACAAATCATGGATATGTGCATCATACTCAGTACGACGATGTTTACTCCTGAATTCAAACTGAGCATCTCGAGAGGCTCTGTTTTCCACTTTTAGCAGCGTGTGATGATAAGCCACTGATATAGTGTTGCACTTGCCATATACTTCAAATTCAACCTTTTTGAGCACTTTTGCATGCAAAACAAAGAACCTCGCAAAGTTAACCTGTTTCTCATAGCCTACGAATGACTTAAACACCACATTTTTGAGATGGGTCTGAAGACATTCGATTGGATGTAAAGGGTCATATTGAGGGTCATTTTTCTTATCCTTCTCATTGTGTCTTTGAAACTGCAAAATGGAAATAAGAGGTATATGTTAAAGCTGTTGCCAACTAGACTAGATAATTTGTCAACCAAATCAAACATTCAAAGCAAGCAAAGATGAGTACTCACAATGATGTAGAGCTTTTCCAGATAAGGAAACCACCTAAGGATGTTAAGAACTGCGTTCAATTCAAGGCCAGAAGACCTAAGGCAAAAAACCTTCACGGTGCGCATCCAGTTTGCTGACATAACTGGGCTTATTACCTGAAGAAAGACGTACAATGAACATAAACAAAAATTATCTGCATATACAAACGACAAATGTAATATCAGAGGATGTTGTTGTTGTTACCTGGGCGATGAGCTTTGAGGCTACAGGTAACAAAGGGCCCAATATCTCCAGTTTAGGTGCCCAAATTACCCGCATAGTAACACAATCATCATCGTAGCAACTAAAAGGTAATAGTACCCTTACAAGGCATGGGGCATCCTCAATCACCAGCTCTAATTTTTCTTTAAAGGCATTTCGTACACCAATGCTTCTAAGAGTCCGTGAGCTAACACGAAGGCATCCCTTGCCACGAACTTCGGACATGTAAAAACTCTCCAAGGCATGGCATCCAGAGAGCAGTCTATGGAAGACCTCCCATGAGATGGTAATGTCCACCAAGGAGAGTTGCTTGAGGAGGGGAAAGTTCGTGAACGACAAGACCTCATCAGGGAAATCACAATAGCTGAACTTGGCGACGAGGAGAGTGGATCCAGAGCGGAACACGGATGGTGGCAGCGGGTTTCTTGGCTCAGAACATTGATGGGGGCACTGGTAGTTGATATCGAGCTCTTGGAGGTTGGCGAGGGCTTGGGAGTGGAGCCAACTCTCCAACTGTGTGTATAAGTCGCCTTCTAGGAAGCACTGGAAGGAGAATCGACGGATGGGGACAGGGTGTTGGGAAATTATCTTGGAGACGACGGCGGGGGTGATGGCAGAGGTGGAGACGGGGTAACCACAGGGTGGGGTGCGGACCTCAAGATTGAGGGGTGTGGAGCGCCAGAGGTGGCACCATCTGGGGGAGACGGCCGACATGCGTCCACCGTCCTTGGTGGGGAGGAGGGAGATGATGGTTACGAGGATGGCATCGGGGAGCTTGCTGATGAAATCACTGGTGATCTCATCACAGACGGTAATTCCATGGGATTCTGGTTGGTCGGGCCACCAGAGTGTAAGTGTAAGTGCCTCATTCTCCATGGCCGGCGGCTAGAGAGACGACCGACGATTTTAGCGATAGCCCACCATTCGTCACTCACGGTCTCCCTCCATGGCCGCCGGGGAATGGAGCGCTGAGATCGGGATCTGGGATGGAGAGCTATTTGTTGGCGACCCCCCGCCGTCCAAATTGGCAATCCATAACTACTTCCCTCATTTGCCTGGCCAGCTGTCGTGCGCATCAACAACGCAATCCTAGCTCATCAATGACGTAATCCTAGCCGGTCAGTGGTGGATCTTTATATTTTTTCCTTTTGCAGCCCCAGAATAGTTTTTTTTTTACAATTGTTGTGGCACAATTTTGTTTCAAACCTAGGAAGTTTATTTTTCTTGAACGAAAAATATATCTATAGATAAGCACTACAATGGAGAGGACGAGGCTTGTCCAACGACACGCCTGGTGAATAAGAACATGCCATTTTAGCTAGGCCATTACCTGGTTTGCGTCGACCAGGACCATGCAATCAGACTCCACGGTCATTCTCTCTAGCCTTAATAGCACACCGGCTCACAGAATCGCACAGACGCAACCTAGCCAACTAACCACCGCGACATGGTCCGCCCGTACCTGGCTCCGCATCGGTCTTGAGACTTGCTTCACTAACCAGCAGTGGTCCCGCCTCCTTGGCTGCTTGCCTGGTGAGGTCTGGAGGCACAGTCGTGACATGTGTCTACAACAAGATGTTTCTTTTGTTAGAGATAATCTTGTCTAGCAGTAGATTAGTTAGTTTCACTAGTAGAAAAACCCCTATTAGTCCCGGTTGGTGAGGGCCTTTTGTCCCGGTTCTGGAACCGGGACTAAAGGGTCGTTACTATGCCCTAGACCTTTAGTCTCGGTTCTAACGCGAACCGGGACAGATGGGCCTCCATGTGGCCGGTGCGCCGAGCCCAGGCAGGAGGGCCTTTGATCCCGGTTGGTGGCACCAACCGGGACCAAAAGGCATCCACGGGTC